TGTATGTATGTATGTATGTATGTATGTATGTATGTATGTATGTATGTATGTATGTATGTATGTATGTATGTATGTATGTATGTATGTATGTATGTATGTATGTATGTATGTATGTATGTATGTATGTATGTATGTATGTATGTATGTATGTATGTATGTATGTATGTAATGTATGTATGTATGTATGTAATGTATGTAATGTATGTATGTATGTATGTAATGTAATGTAATGTAATGTAATGTAATGTAATGTAATGTGTATGTATGTATGTATGTATGTATGTATGTATGTATGTATGTATGTATGTATGTATGTATGTATGTATGTATGTAATGTATGTATGTATGTATGTATGTATGTATGTATGTATGTATGTATGTATGTATGTATGTAATGTATGTAATGTAATGTATGTAATGTAATGTAATGTAATGTAATGTAATGTAATGTAATGTAATGTAATGTAATGTAATGTAATGTAATGTAATGTAATGTAATGTAATGTAATGTAATGTAATGTAATGTAATGTAATGTAATGTAATGTAATGTAATGTAATGTAATGTAATGTAATGTAATGTAATGTATGTATGTATGTATGTATGTATGTATGTATGTATGTATGTATGTATGTATGTATGTATGTATGTATGTATGTAATGTAATGTATGTATGTATGTATGTATGTATGTATGTATGTATGTATGTATGTATGTATGTATGTATGTATGTATGTATGTATGTATGTATGTATGTATGTATGTATGTATGTATGTATGTATGTATGTATGTATGTATGTATGTATGTATGTATGTATGTATGTATGTATGTAATGTATGTATGTATGTATGTATGTATGTATGTATGTATGTATGTATGTATGTATGTATGTATGTATGTATGTATGTATGTATGTATGTATGTATGTATGTATGTATGTATGTATGTATGTATGTATGTATGTATGTATGTATGTATGTATGTATGTATGTATGTAATGTATGTAATGTATGTATGTATGTATGTAATGTATGTATGTATGTATGTATGTATGTAATGTAATGTATGTATGTATGTATGTATTGTAATGTAATGTAATGTAATGTAATGTAATGTAATGTAATGTATGTATGTAATGTATGTATGTATGTATGTATGTATGTATGTATGTATGTATGTATGTATGTATGTATGTATGTATGTATGTATGTATGTATGTATGTATGTATGTATGTATGTATGTATGTATGTATGTATGTATGTATGTATGTATGTATGTATGTATGTATGTATGTATGTATGTATGTATGTATGTATGTATGTATGTATGTATGTATGTATATGTATGTATATGTATGTATGTATGAATGTATGGTATGTATGTATGTATGTATGTGTATGTATGTATGTATGTATGTATGTATGTATGTATGTATGTATGTATGTATGTATGTATGTATGTATGTATGTATGTATGTATGTATGTATGTATGTATGTATGTATGTATGTATGTATGTATGTATGTATGTATGTATGTATGTATGTATGTATGTATGTATGTATGTATGTATGTATGTATGTATGTATGTATGTATGTATGTATGTATGTATGTATGTATGTATGTATGTATGTATGTATGTATGTATGTATGTATGTATGTATGTATGTATGTATGTATGTATGTATGTATGTATGTATGTATGTATGTATGTATGTATGTATGTATGTATGTATGTAATGTATGTATGTATGTATGTATGTATGTATGTATGTATGTATGTATGTATGTATGTATGTATGTATGTATGTATGTATGTATGTATGGTATGGTATGTATGTATGTATGTATGTATGTATGTATGTATGTATGTATGTATGTATGTATGTATGTATGTATGTATGTATGTATGTATGTATGGTATGTATGTATGTATGTATGTATGTATGTATGTATGTATGTATGTATGTATGTATGTATGTATGTATGTATGTATGTATGTATGTATGTATGTATGTATGTATGTATGTATGTATGTATGTATGTATGTATATGTAATGTAATGTAATGTAATGTAATGTAATGTAATACAATGTATGTATGTAATGTAACGTAATGTAATGTGCTGTAATTAATATAATGCAACGTATGTATGTATGTAATGTAATGTAATGTAATGTAATGTAATGTAATGTAATGTAATGTAATGTAATGTAATGTATTGTAATGTATGTATGCATGTAATGTAATGTTATGTTATGTTATGTTATGTAACGTATGTATGTAATGTAATGTATGTATGCATGTAATGTAATGTAATGTAATGTAATGTAATGTAATGTAATGTAATGTAATGTAATGTAATGTAATGTAATGTAATGTAATGTAATGTATGTATGTATGTATGTATGTATGTATGTTTGCTCCCCAGTATTTCCCGCAAAAACGCGTTTTCCTGCGTTTTCGCAATCAGCAAAAAAGCCGGCAGGGGGAATCGAGCCTGGGACCCCTGTTTTGCGACACCGGCGTTTCGTGGAACATCATCAAATTGCCGCGCTGTCGGAGGGGGAGGGGGGGGGGGGGCTGCGTAATTGACGTGTTTCGGGGGGCGGATTAAGGGGGGGGGTTATCCTCTATCCTCTCTTAGGTATCCGACACGCCGAACAATGTCGGCGGACTTTAGTTGATCGATTGGCTGTCACCCCCGCTTATTTGACAGGCGTTCGTGCAAGAGATTTCGACTTTTTCAAGATGAAGATCAGGGCGGACCTCTTTTTTCAAGGGTTGCAGGGAAAACTGGGCCGAGCCACAGTGCAAAGCCCGGCTAGGTGAAGGTGCAGGCAATCACTGCCAGAAGGTGAGGATATCCGCGCTTTCCATAGATGGCCCGGATTTGTGACTCATTTGGGTGAAAGGGCTTCCATGTTCTGTGGTGTGTTGAAGGGAATCCGCTCAGTCGCGATAGTGGGGATGGTTGATTTTCTCAACCGCTTTGGTAGACTGCCCGTCATTGGTTGCTCTTAAAGACTCAGAAGAAGTGTGACCTTTGCTTTTTGGTTGAACGGGTTGGCCCATGGGCTGATCCGAGAAAGTGATACCGCTACGTGGAAATGCACACCCCCGTTGGCTTGGCCGCTCGGATGAACATGGAAGCAGAGAAAGCTCTGATTTTAGACCAGCCTTCCGCTTTTGCGGCCCATGTTAATTGGCAGGGGAGTAAGCTTTTGCCACACACGACCACCCCAGTTTCCTTGAGAGAGCAGGTAGGTCTTTTTGGGCAGGGGTACAACAAGTGGATCAACCCAGTTTTGGTGAAACTGCCCCTGCCACTCCCCAAGCAAACCATCCCTGCAAGCGCGCCTCCAGTTTTGGTCTATGTTGAAAAGTGTGTTTGGTCTTCCTAGGGCTGAGTTCATTGAAGTGACATCCTCAACATTGTAGCATTTCCCGCTAAATTGTGGTTTGAAGACCACCCCAAACAGAATTTGAGAACCCCTCCAAATGTTAATGTATCGCGAGCCTATGATAACCATCCGCAAGATTGGCGGAGGGAAACGGTTCCAACACTTTTGAGAAGCCCCGAAACATGCAACCGCTTTACTTACTGGTGCGATAGGTCGGGAACGAGGGAGCGAACCCGGAAATTCCCGAATAAAGGACACCACCAGTTGGATGGCTTTTTTCCGGGGGTCATTCCATCCAACTCATTCCCCGCCAAGCGCACGGATCCCAAGGGCCCTAGCTTTGGAGGAGAGCTTCAACTTCAACGCCATCGGGACCTTCCGGTCCTGCTACCGGCAGCGCTGCGGGGCGCCGCGGCAGAGCAACCTGGTGCAGGCGAAGGGTGGGCCGTGGGCTTCGACATGCACAAAGAGGCGCCCCACCAGCTAACATGGGTTTGGTGTACAGAGCCCTGTAGAAAGACGACTTTCCTTCTTGGTTAGTTGGCCTTTTAGTTCGCGCCGGGAACATACCCACCCGCGTGTTTTTTTGCATGTCTTCCGTTTTTGTGCTTGAATTCTCAGGCAGTTTGACAAACGTGCATCTTTGTGGGTCTTTGAACATCCCGGTAACTAACTCATTTCAATTTAAAGCCGCGCATTTTTTGTTCTAGTCAGGACACATGGCAGTGAGACGATGTCTGGGCTGCAAGAAGCCGGGGCACCGGCTGGAGACATGTCCTATCCCAGTGGAACTTGAATTCCGCCGCCTTCGTGGGCTGGGTTGTTTGTTGTTTCGCTTGAGCGGGTGCGCTTGAGCGGGTGTTCTTACAATTTGGCATGCGTGTGTGCAGTGCTGAGCGGGTGCACCTCAGCGGGTGTTCTTACCATTCGGCACGCATGTGTGCATCGCTGAGCCGGTGCACTTCAGCGGCTGTTCTTACTATATGGCATGCGTGTGTGCAGTGCCGAGAGGGTGCACTTCAGCAGGTGTGCTTATTATTTGGCATGCATGCGCGCAGTGCCGAGCGGGTGTACTTCAGCGCGTGTTCTTACCATTCGGCACGCATGTGTGCAGCGCTGAGCGGGTGCACTGTTCTTACCATTTGGCATGTGTGTGTGTGTGTGTGTGTGCAGTGGCCAGCGGGTGCACTTCAGCGGGTGTTCTTATCATATGGCATGCGTGTGTGCAGTGCCGAGCGGGTGCACTTGAGCTGCTGCGCTTACCATTTGGCGTGCGTGCGTGTGTGTGTGTGTGTGTGCAGCGCTGAGCGGGTGCTCTTGAGAGGGTGTTCTTACCATGTTGGCGAGGGTAAAAACCACTTCGACTTGTGGGTGGGTAAATACCCGGTACCTTTTAGTTGGTGGGTATTCATGGGTTGCCCTGGTAAATTGGATGGACTATTTGCGGTCCATGGCTGTTTCATTTGGACCAATGAGTCTGAGCAGGCGGCCACTACACTCAAACTGCGGATATGCAGCCACTATATATCAGGGGTGCATTCCCCGTTTTCCCCCATGCGGGTAATGGTTTGGGGTAGTGGAAGCCATCTCAGAGAGTTGGTTGGTTTCGGCTTAACTTATTTCCTGAGTTCATTGATGCTTAAACTACTTGGAAGATGATTTGGTGGTGATTGGCATGGAACCCAAAACGGGGGTCACACAAAAGGACATGTCTCTCCCCCCCACCCCCCCCGTCCCTTTTGGACGGTGGAGCTTGTGAGTTTGCTACTGGGACCGGACCCGAGATGCTTGGGCGGAAATCAGGGTGAACTCCCCATTCTCTTCCGGAAGCCACCAATTTCCCATTTCCCCCGTGGCTGAGGGGAACCCCCAAGCCTATCCGTAGGTCTGGCTCCTTCATAGGAACAGAATGGGAAAGGAGGGTCTGGCCACCTGGTTCTGGCTGTACGTTTCGAGCCGATCAATTTGGTTTGTCCAACGAGCGAAGACCCATGATGTAGTCCTTTAAGCCCTTACCCAGGGATCCAGTTGTTTCAGGTTCTTGCAGATCCCTACGTTGAACTATTACAAAAATATGTTTTTCCCCCAACAGAACCTTTACCTACCGGTGTGGTGCTGTTGGGGATATCACCTGAGCTCCTTTGGCTTTTTGAGCTATCATTGCCGCAGGACTCGCTGGCGGTGCTGCACTGTGTGAAGGACCTGAACCCCGAGGCTGCCCTGCAGGGGCTGAAGGACTTCAGCCACGTTTGGGTGCTCTACGTCTTTCACGAGAACACCAACTCCCTGCGGGAGACCAAGAGCGCCAGGCCATTTTGTTCGTCTCTGTATTCCTTCTCACGTTCTGCAGCTAGACATAGGTTTTTTTGACCAAGTGACAGGAGAAACGCAGGTCAGGTGGATTCCTTCTCGCGTTCTGCAGCGGGACCTCGCTTCTTTTGACCAAGTGATGTGATAGGGAGGCTCGGCCTAAGAATTTGGCAGCGCAAGGCTTGCTGGTAAGCCCCCTGCAGGCGCCGGGGCCAGGGCCAGGGCCGCGTGCCCCTGTGGCAGGGCTTGGTGATGAAGGCGTGCGGGACATCCGGGCCGGGGGGGGGGGGGACAGGGCTGGTGGATTTCCCACTGAAGATGGTCCCTGCGGATCGAGAATCGAGTGAGGCCATCCAAGTGAATCCCTTCAGCAAAGCAGTGGGGATGGGAGGCCCATATCAAAGGAGTTTAGCCACCAAACCGTTCAAGAACCCTCCTTTTGGTTTCCCTAACCAGGGTCTAGAACCCCAAAATGGGTCGTTGGAGGGACCGAATGGGCAACTTAAGTGACTAAGTGTCATACTGTGGATGGACACAGTTCTGCACCAGTGGGGACACTCCTCCAAACAAACTGGCATAAACCATTTGCCAGCTGGTGCGAAATGGATTCAGGGATGGGAATCCCACAAAAGGCATCCCGCAAGGGTAATTTGAGTGTTTGTCAAAATAGGATTCGGTCCCCAAAATGGTTGCAGGGTTTCTTTTGGCTTCCCTTTCAACCCAACCTTCCATTTCCTGAAGAATATCTTCTACGGTTTTCCTAGCTAAGTGAACCAATACTTAGGTAAACCTTGATTGGTGGTTCTGTTGCTTTGTTTGGGTGTTTGAACCCCTGGCTTTAGAGGGAAAAACCAACAAGCCCACCAATCCAAACCCACCAATGAGCAAGCTGAAATGCTGGACACATCCTCTTTGATTCCATTCGCAAGTAGAGAGGCAACTGGGAGTTGATCAACAGGTCCTTTGCACGAAATGTCCATGGTTGGAAAACCACGAAGCATATTTTATATTTCCCGCATGGGAAACACTTTACCCATGGTCAAAACGAACACCACTAAACATATGTTATATTTTTCCTGCATGGGAAACAACTTGATGGAATATTGCATCCACCCACCTGAGCCACAATCAAAACCCGGGTAGATGAAGGTTAGTTTGGGGCAGTCGCCAGAAATAGTTGCGGCCGCCTTAATTCTTGAAGCATGGTTCTGGGATTACGACCATTTTACTGCCGGGTTTTGATTGTGACTCAAATGACCATTGGTTGGAAAACCACAACAGATATTTTATATGTCCCACATGGGAAAAGTGACCCATGGTCAAAACCCATTCTAGGCGGTATTTTAGTGGTTGGATTGGGATGTTCACTGGGGGTACTGAATTTTGAGCCATGGCCATATGGGTGTGGGTCAAAATTCAACCACCAGCAGGTTTTCGTCCATGTTTCCATCTACCTTCCCGAAATGGGCACCTATTTTCGACAACCACAGCCATTTGAACATGCTCGGGAGCGCATGGGGCGACCGAATGACTCCTTTTTGGACCCACAGCCACATGAGAAGCCCCAACCGGAGGCCGCGGAAGTTCCTTCCCCCCCCCCCTGGTGCCAGCGGTGCCAGGTGTCGCCTCCGCGGTGCCCGGAGTTGCGCGTGGGGGTGCTGGCCTGCCGCACGCCCCACCGGCCCAACCCCATCGGCCTGTCCTTGGCGCGGGTGGTGCAGGTCATGCGACTGCCAGGGGGTCGAATGAAAGAATTGTCGAACGACCTCACACGACCGAACTCACCCCAAATGGTGGGTTATGTGGGGAATAGCCCCCCAAGCACCGCAAGTTTCAGGTTGGTGAAATATTTTAAGTCACTCAGAAAGGGTTTGGTGACCGGAACGTCTGCAGGAAATGGCACCAACACTCTGCAAATACGCTGTTTTCCTGCAGAATTTCCTGTAACACAACCCTTTGAGACAGAGGCTTTATCAGAATTTAGATGGAATCCTGCATCGAAAAGGAGAGGCAAACCAATAGAACGGTATTCGGACAATGCAATTTCAGTTATTAGTTTCAGATCGCAGCGCTTTGAGTTTAAAGTCATATCCGAATTATATTTCAATTTACAATATGATTTTGAATTAGATTATAATAGGATGTCCTTTCCAAGTAGGACTTTAATCGGGATTTACATAGAATCTGAAGCGGAAAGACAAGCTTGTTGTCTCTTCTAATTTGAAAGCCTCTAAAAGGAGTGAAACAACAGCAAGCGCCCATGTATAAAATGCAGACCCCATTCGATTTGGTTATGGGGTTCATTCCCAGTGGTTCCTCTTCAAGGAAACTAGGATAGCTCATAGAGTTGACTCCCAGATACTTGGCCAGGAATTCCTGTTTGAACAATCATCAAAATTACGATTTAATTACTTGGGTGTGGGTCAAATCATAGGTACCCAAATGAACCCTGGTAAATGGAAACATGGACTAAAACCTGTGGTCCCCTAGTGGTTTAATTGTGACCCACACCCACTTGGAAGAAACAACCAGCTTGTCTTTCCTTACTAGATTCTAGTTAAATGATAATGACAATCATGAAGCTCTATTTAAATTCCAATCAACATCCAATTTGGAAAGAATTCCTATGTAAAATTAGAAGGATCTCCTGTTTACAATCTACTTCAACATAAGATTCCTAATGAACTTCAACTCTAGGTGAACTCGTATTTCGAAAGACATTCCTATTCAGCAGCTAAAAACCAATCAACGTTGTAATTAACTTCTAATTGAAATCCTGCTTGGAAGGGACGTACTAGTTAAGTTCTACTTCAAAATAATGAACAGACATCTAATCGAAATCCCATTTAAGCTTAAGGCCTCACAATTCCCGAGTGCTTTTTCCGGACCGTACTAAGGTGCGGCTCTGGTAAAGAAATGACATGTAGCAGATCCGATCCCTTTGAATATACGAGCAAGCAAAGTTGAAGCGACGGTTTCTCAAAACCCATGACATTTTACCTGATGTAATTACAGACCGCATCTTCGGCCGGGTCACTGAGTCAATGCACGTGTTGCCGCCTCCATTTGCTTAAGAATATTTAGTTGTTTTCCCCTTGTTGGTATTAAACTACTGGACATATTTTTACTTTTTCCTGGGGCCTTAACCAAATGGAAGGCCGTTGGACTCGCCAGGTGAAGGCAGACCAGGGGGTGCTGGTGCTAGGGGGGCTGGACGTGATCGATGGCACGCCCTGCCTGGACATCAAGCCGTACCTACCCAGCTTCGAAGCCATCGATGCGCAGGTGAGCCTGCGCATCGGGTTCATCGGTCCGGTTCCCATCAGTGGCATAGGGGTCCTGTTTCGGTTAGTTTGGTTGGACAATGGGGGGGTTCGACTAGTTTAGATGGGGTTGGTTCCACTTCCCAAAACCCATCAATTTTTCCGAAAGGCCACCTATGAAATCCCTGGTTTCCTCTTCGTTTCGAAACCAAAGGGCCAGCCTTGCCCCACACTTGGGTTCCCTCAAACAGATCCCCCCCCCCACGTGTCCAAGGTCTCGCAATCAAAGCTTTCAGCCCTTGACCAAAAAAGAGCGGGGGAAGGCATGGGTTTGTCTCCAAATTGGGGTTGGAGGGAACCAAAAAGAATTGGGGGCTCTGAAAATCGAAATGCCTGTGGCTTTTTCTTGAGTACTTGGAACCTGAGAGCTACAGGTGCCGCAGTGGGTCCAGAAGTCCTACGAGGAGCCCATGATGGAGGTGCAGTGGTCCCCTGTGGCGCAGGAGCTCCTGTCGCAGCTCGAGCCCTCGCAGCTTGGATGTGGACGAAATCCACCGGTATGGGTCAAAATGAACCAGGAATCGGACCGCAGATGTTAGTCCTTGTTTCCATTTACCAGGGTTCCATTTTGGGTACCCACACCTACTTCGCGCCACTTGGGATTTAGGTGTTTATCCAATTCATGTCCTGCGAAGCAAATTTCGACCCATGTCATGCTCAACAGGGCAAATCGCCCACCTGGGGAGTGGATGCTGATTACAGGCAAACCAAATGGACAACCGACCCATTTTTTGGGGTTCCCGATGTTGACCCACACCGTGCCCTTAGACTTATAGACGTATGTGGGCAAAGAGGTTGAAAACTCCATGAGGAGGCTGTGCCATGTGCTTCGACCCCGTAGACTTAGACTTTAAGACTTTTAGGGATTTAGGGCGCATCAGCCGTGCGCAAGGTTTGCGCTTTTCTCGGGATTTATGCCAGATCCAAGAAACAAATCCCACGGCCATGGGTGAGTTTGCGAGATCTCAGGCAGTTGCCGCCCTTCCAGTCAACCTCCGAGCTGATGAAGGCGATTCAAGGCACCCTGGCGCTGGACATTCGGTCCCCGGTGCAGAAGGATCGCCATCCGAACCCCGGGACCTTCAGCGACGCTGCCTTCTTCACGGGGGACCTCTGGTTTCATGAGCTGCACATCACGTACTCCCTGCTCCCCAGGGGAAACCTGGCATCCGTGCGGGTAGAGGATGTGCAGAAGGAAAAGCCTCAAAGTTGCCGTGGCTCTTTCGGTGTGTGAACCTTCTCCATTTCTCCTAGGGTCCAAGGTGGAAATGATTTGTTGCAGTGTTGCGGGTGTTTGTCGAAATCACGGACCTTCCCAGGTGGTTGGTTCCCTTTTTGGTGTCCCCTAAAACCATCTAAATAGGGGGTAAGCCAAAGAATTTGAGAACGCCCAGTTACAGGGTCTGTTGAAACCCGTGACTCGCTCTGCACCCGGACCTCCGCAGCTTGGCTTGGTAGAGGTAGACAGGAGCGGCCTGAGCAGAGGCGCGAATTCGGTGGGGCGTCCGAATTCTGTATTTTGCTTCTGCTCAGCAGGGAATGAGCCAGGGTGTTAGGAATGAACCCCAGGGATGGTTCATAGAGCTGAGAACCAGCAAGTTATGGCTATTTGGTAACGGATCTTTGGACTTTAACTTTTTGGTTGAAGCAGCTTGGATTTGCCGAGTTGGACATGCCCAAACAGGTAAACTTTCCGCAGAGGGGTCACCGTCCGCGAATTCTGCCATGCCAGGTTTTGCATGCTTGGAACAGTACATCCGAAATGCACGCTTGGAGTGCCGCAACAACCATTGAGGGTGTTCTCCTTGTAGGCAAATTTTTGTTGGCCAGCCTAGGCTTTTGTGGTTCATTGTAGCTTGCGTGGTCTGCATAAGTCTGTGCCATCTTGGATTTTAGAATTCCACGGGTTTTGGGATACATGACATGAGGGCTGCCCAAGAAAATGTGTGTTTTGGGGGCCGTTTGTGGCTTTCAAAGTGGGCAACCAAAAGCGCCCAGTAAGAGCCAATCCTCGGATTTGTGCCACCACATCCCAGAATGTTGTTCTGTCAAAGGCTACACACTCTCCCGACCTAGATTACCCTTAAGCTTTCCTCGCAGATCCGTTCCATACTCGCGTTCCATAGGTGTCCTTTTTGGTTGCTTTGCTTGAAAAACAAATATCGATGGCGATTCCTGGTTTACCTGGTGGTTTTTGCTCATCTACCAGGGAAACCCATCTATGTCCAGCCTAAAAGGACCACCTATGATCAGTTCTCTTTGGGTCCAATGGACTGTTTCTCTCGAAGCCGTGTGAGGCCTTTCGGATGAGCTCCAAGGAGGGCCGTTGGGTCACTCCTTCTCACAGCCGTGTTCGGAGAGCTTGGGTGTTTCAAAAGGCGGTGGGTTTGGAAGGGAGAGCTCGCGAGTCGCGAGGGAACGCGACACAAGAAGCACCAACGACCAACATCTATCTTTTAAGGGGCGCAGCACCTCAGTTGATCCTTCATTCTTGTCCGGCCAGGAGAAAAAGACGCCGGGCATTGTGGAAGCCGCCTACAAGCAGATTGCGTCGTCCTTGCCCCAGCTCTCTCTCTCTCTCTCTCTCTCTCTCTCTCTCTCTCATTGTTTTAGAGAGAGAGAGAGAGAAGCAGTTGTGACAGGAGGGCTTGCTTGATTTGCATCACTTGCACAATCCAGACAGGCGGCAATATGGTTACGCATTTCATGCGGAACACCCTCAAAATTGGTTGACGAACACAAGACCCTATGTCAATCATGCCCACCAAAGGGTTTCCCAACTGGCATTCATATGGCCATGGGTCAGAAGCCCGTACCCCAGTGAACATCCCAATCCCCACTAAAACAAAGCCTAAAATGGGTGGTGCACCAATCCTCCAAAATGGGATCCCATTGGTTTTGAGCCACAACAATCCGCATTGGCCACGACCTGGACCGAGCCCATGGCGAAATCTGAGCGAGCGGCTGCAAAAGCCGCCGGCCGCAGGTGGCTTCCATGGAATCTGGCGGTGAGGGCCAAAGATGCCGCGGCCTCGGCCGGCAAAAACAAACGAAAGACGCGGAGAGATGGATTCAAAATTCGTGTAACAAGGTATTTGGCTGTGGGTCCAAACCAATGGAATCCCATTTTGGGGTGGGTGCGCCACCCATTTTAGGCTTTATTTTAGCGGGGATTGGGATGTTCACTGGGGGTACGGGATTTTGACCCATGGCCATATGTGTAACAAGGCATTTCACCACATTGTGGGTCAAAAACCGGGCACCCCCACCCACCCGTTCCCTTTTTGAAATAGACCAAACAGAAGGGGAGTTGCCAAGAAAAGGGTGTCGGAGTTTGACCCACACCCACATGGACCCCTGCGGGAATTCAGGTCGGGATATTTTTTCCTGAGGTAAGGGATGGTGACGGATTCTGAGAATCTCAAGGAGTTTGGACCCCATCGGCCCAGGCAAAGTGCGGCAACTGCAAGGTGACAGCTGAGGTCTACTGTGTGGCATTCTCAGTTTAGCGAACAGTGTCAGGTCATCAAGGCAACCTTGTATCCTCTTTGTTCCGCAGATAGTTGAAAGCTATAGGGGGGAAGTGGTTTGAGAGATTGCCGGCTGGGTGCTAGGGGGCATGCAGTTTGCATGCAGTTTGGGGTGCTGGTGTAGGTGCTGTTTGAGCCGCTTGATGTTGGGGGTGCTAGGGTATGCAGTTTGGGTGCTGGCGCAGGTGCTGCTTTGGGGTGTGCAGGTGACAGTGCCGGCGCACTTTTGCAAGATTGGCGGTAGGGTGCTAGGCATGCAGCATGGGGTGTTTTGCGAAGGTGCTGCTTTGGGATGGTGTTTGGGGTGCTCTTTGAGGTGCTGGTGATGGTGCGGGTGCATGTTTGCGAGATTGACGGCCGTGTGCTCTGGGAGTGCTGTTCTGGGTGATGACGCGGGGGGTGGTGACGGGCGTGGCGTTTTTGCGAGATTGACGGCTGTTGCAGGTGCTGTTTTGGGGGGCCCGGTGGCGGCCAGGTGTGTTTTTTTCGAGATTGACGGCAGGGTGCTAGGTGGCATGCAATTTGGGGATTCTTGTGCAGGTGCCACAGTGCAATCGTTAGCACGTGTTTCGCTCTTTGCGGTCTAAGCTGGTGTAATTTTGGTTGGTGAACATATCCAGTCCACCATTTGGGTATTAATTTGTTTCAGGGTACCCATTTCAGACTGATTCAAAGGGAAACCAAAAGGAAAGCCACCCTTTTGATGGCCCTAATCATTGTTCACGCCTCCCCGAAAACCGCGACGGCACCGATTTCATCTCCTCACCTTCCCAACGCCCCCGATCGATCGGGTCCCGCCTCGGTGTCGCTGGGTTTTTAGGTGGACTGCAAGAAGGTGATGTGCAAGTTCTGCACCACCCTCCTGCACCATCCTGACACCAAGGCGGGCCGACGGGTGCAGGCTCTTTGGGGAAAGGTAATAATGAAAAGTACCCAGTTCTCCGGATTTGTATGGGAAGCCAAAAACACCGAAAGAAAGCAGGCCACCTGCTTTCTTGCCCAAACACCCAACCTATTTGAGTTCAAACACTGTGTTTGAGGCGTCGGCCCCGAAGAGAGACTCTCAGAACCAGCCTGCGCGCTCAGAACGAGCAGCACTCCTTGGAAGATATCGTCAAGGAGAACGAGGATGGGGCCCTGCGCTTACCTTCCGCTGGTCAAAGCGCAAGCTTCGATTGGAGGGGCGTCCTTGGTTTACCAATCCGAGCAAAACATCTCGCAGTTGTTTGCCAAGGCCAAAGTGAGCACTGAGAGAGGCGAGCTTAGACTGTATTCTGAGGTGATGCCGGAAGTGAAGATCATCAGCTTGGGCCTGAATGTGCTGAGACGCCTGATGCGAAAGATGCCATCTCGGCGGGTTGTGCCCACGTAGGCAGGCTGTTGGAATTGGTGGAGCGCATCTGAGGCCCCATTTTGCTCGACCTGATTCTAGTCGCTGCCGGCATGTTCTTCTACTTCAGTAGCGCAGGACAGGGGTTGTGTGTTGTGGGTAGCCCTTTCAGGCTGGTTAAAAGGAAATTTGAACGAAGGAATGTAGGTATGATTTGTGACGGCATGCAGCAACGTGCATACTTGCAAGTTACTTTGCTGCCGGCTGAAATGACAGGCGAAGTTCCATGACTCATTTGGGTTGTAAGATGCATGGAATCGGCTTCAACAAAGCCGCGAATCGGAAGGAACATATCATTTTGCAAAAAAAATGAGCGGTTACATCTTTGTTTTGTTTTTTCTTTAAACTCAAGCAAGCAGATTCCCAACACCAAAAGACACTTGTGATTTCTTGTTCGGAGCTTCCGCGGATCGGGCTTGTCTAGTGGCCTCCGCTTGACCTGTTCGCTTTTACCACCCAAAAAAAGGGGCGCCCGAAACCATTGCTTCAGGAGGACACACAACCGGGCCCCCAGACTGGGAAGCTCCCCCTAGACAGTCCCATATATCGAGCTTGGTTTTAAAAACAATGCAGGTCGAACTCTCCTGAAGTGTGCCAACGATGACTGCTTGATGACACCAGTCCAAAACCTGGGGAAAGATCCAGAGGGCTGCCCCTTCCGAGCCTTTCAGCCGACGTCTGATCGAACTTTGGGGGGACCCGGGGCAGGCATCAGCCCGGAGTACTTCAGCGGGGCGAGCTATTGCCCTGGCCTGGCGAGGGTCAGGCGGGGACCGACCCGTTGGCGCAGGTGGGTTTTGGTGCCAGGGAAGGACAACGAAGGATCGCACTTGAAGTCTTGTCTTGGAGCGTTGGGGACCAAGGGAAGCCAGACATAGGGGGTTCCCCAAATTTGGAGAACTTTTTTTGGTTGGGAGGGTTCCCCTACTAGAATCTTTGGGGACCAAGGGAAGCTGCAGGGGGTTTCCCCGATTTGGAGCAGGTATTTGACGGGGTTTTCCCTCCGAGAGAACCCGAGCGAGAGAAGCCGAGCTTCGAGAGGTACTGGACAGCTCGCTTCGATGCCAACGTCTTCTTCTACTTTAAGGCCGTGGTTTCCCACCCAAAGGAGGTTCCCCAGGGGCCGATTCAACTCGACGGCGGGGATTCCGCCAAGTCGGTGCGGAGTTTTGGGGACCAATTTATTTGTGGCTGGAGTCCTTTTGGTTGCAAAATCATAGTCCAAAAAAGGGTCCCCGAGTTTGAGGTTATTTGGGTGGGCAATCTTGATACCACATGAAGCTGGCTCATTTGGAGCACGAAGAGTGCGGCTCGTGCGCGGCCGGTTGCAGAATGCAGATCAACACCCAGACAAGATAGCTATAGCAGCACTATAGCACCCAGGTGCAGAGGAATCTGCTTGGGGGGTAGACTGAAAGCCAGGGAGGGGAACCCCTGGGATACAGTCAATTTGGGGGGCAGTCAAGAAATGAATCCCTGGAGCATTTCCTGATTCTGATCACCAGAGCCCATTGAAAGCGCTTGCGCGCTCAGAACGAGCTGGCGCAGTACTGTGACTGGGAGGACTCCTACTGGAGGCCTGGCGTGCACCACCTCAAGAGGGCCTATGACAGGTGCGCTGGTTTTGGGACATGGGACAACTAGAGACTCCCCTGCGTTTCCCCTGCGTTTTGTGGGACATTCAATCCGTTGGACCGCAAACTCGTGGAGATTTCGGCCAAACCTCGCGTGTGGACGGGGCATCAGGTTTTTCATGGACACCTGGATCCGCAGTGTCCTGACCAATACGGACTGGGCGGGGGCAGAAGCAAGGAACATTTGGGTGTCTTGTTTTAAGGCTGGACCACCTAAAAAGGTGGTTTACCTGTTGGTTTTCCTTTAAAATCACAGAAGAAAGAGGTACCCTCAAAACAAAACACACCCATTTTGCACGCCACACGCCCTCGCAGCTCTGCATCGAAGGGCATGTGCGGCGTGCCGCAGGGTTACAGATCAGGAGCATTTCGGCCGCGCAAAGAAAGACTCCACAGAAATGTTGGGCGGACTTTGCAACGTAGCGGAAATGCACAAGTTGTAGGTTCTGTTTTTGGCTTCCCCTTGTTGTTTCCAAGTAAGGAGACAAGCCTTGATCGTGCAGGACAGCTGGATCCTCCTTTTTGCCTCCTTTCTGAAGGCAGGCCGCAGTAGGCAATGCGTCGTCTTTTGTTCATGTGGATATACAGAGGTTCGGGCTGGTGGATAAACAGACAGGGTCAACTACCAAAGGGCCCCCTCAAGCAGGTCGGTGGTTGGCGAAAACATATCCAACCATCTTTGTGAAATGTTTTTTTGACGCAAAACAACATATTTATAACAGTGTATAACACCAATTTTAGATCTTCCAAAGGACGCGACATGGTTTCGATCCTTAAGAATAGCAGGGTTACCAACTCAAAATCGACAGATCCTCTTGATATTATTCCCCAACAGCTGAAAGCTATGGGGTCGATAGGCATGGGCTGTTCCAGAGATTTGGGTCCACCGGTTCCATGGAAATTTGGGTCCCGATACCACCTGACCTTTTTTTTTCCTTTTTTTTTTTTTAGGATCTTTAGATATACCCCCTTTTCTCCAACCCTTGGGCATGGTTTGGGAGGGTTCCACTTGATTGAATTACCCTTGGTTGAAACAACCATTGTTTACTTAAGGTTGTCATCATCCAAATTGGGTCCTTGCCATTAATTGAATGAGGGTTGAACTCTAGGGCCAATGTGGCTTAACATTGAACAGCGAGGATTACGCAGGTTAGTCTTTGCTTCCATTTTCCATGGTGCCATTAAAACGGCACCGGTTTTTGAGCCACGCCGCTTTACTGGGATTGAGCTTCTCTTGGCCGATTGGTTGCTATCCGTTCCGATAGGCAGCGACCTTCGAGGAGTCCGGCGCTCGGAGCGAGAAGCGAGGTGGGCAGCCTGAGGGTGGGACGTATTGGTGGAGGGTGGCTTGTTTTGTCGGGGGGTGTTGGGTACCTTGTTTTGGTGCTTTTAAAGGGAAACCGAAAGGACAAGCACCATTTCGGAGGGTCCAACCTTAGAAAGGACACGCCCACATCATGGAGACTGTCACGGACTGTCCACTTTCGAGGCGGTTCCGAATCAGTAAAGTTCATTGCCATGGTGGGTGAACCTGTTTGGTTAGGGCACGCCTTTGGTGGTTCCCCCTTCTGGAGCTCACACGGCAGCTTTCCCCCAGCTGTATCTAACCCTGACAGCGCAGATGAGGTCTACCATTCCTTGTGTGGGGCGGTCTTCCATTGCAGGGGTTTGTATTGCCATCCTGTCGCCCTTACTTGGTGGTTTGACCCCCTGGTTCTAGCAAAGGGTATACCTGGGCACTCCGGGTGTGCAAAATTTCCGCCGTTTGGCGAAAAAGCAATAATTTCCGCTGTTTCGTTCAAAAAGCGCTTTTTGACCCAACAACTGCTCTTTTTCAAGATTGCCGCGAAGCGTGTCAGAAAAAGCGCGTTTTGGCCGGGTAAAAGCGCTTTTTGACCGAGGAAAAGCGCTTTTTCAGCACAAGCCCAAGCAAGAAAAGCATGCATCACTGGGAAAAGCCCGCATCAAGCAAAATCGTTTTTTCAGCCAAAAAGCACTTTTTCTTGAAAGAGCACAAAAAAAACACACCTTGGAGGATCCAGGTATGGAAAATTAATATCCCACCACCAAATTACAGAGAAGCTGATGGTGTTTTGCAAGCAAGTCGCTACACAAGGTTCTTGCGCATCATCATTACCCCAGTCGTTGCTGCGGTCTACGCCACTGTCAAGCGCTCAGAACTAGCCTATTCAGCCATTTTCTTTTCTTCTCTGGCTGACGGATTTGTTTCTCGCAGTGGATGTCACTCTTATCGGCTTGCAGTTTGATGCGGCTTGAATCCGAAAGCGACTTTGTTGTTGACTCCGTTTTGACGGATGTGGGCGTGGCTTGTTTAGATGGAACCGGTTCGTTTTGGGATTGTTTACAGGAAAACCAAAAGGACAGCCACCATCAGTTTGAGATGTTCCCTAAGTTTGAGATGTTTTAGACAACGCCAGTGTCCAATGTTTTGGTGTGGTGGAATTGCCTTCTGTTTGCATTGCCCTCCGAGTTGGCCTACATTGTCCGCAGCATAGAGTCCAAGCCTCAATCACTGGTCTCACTGCTGGGAAGGAGGATCCAGAAAAAGGCCCTGGTCCAGGCAAAACCGAATCCCTTGTGAATCGACCCTTAGTTTGTCCCACTTGCATGCTGCATACTCCTTACATGTTTTGTTTTTTTAGGCAGTACTGTGAGTCTCAGCTTTGCCCATCGTGCCTATACATAAGGGGCATGCAGTATGCAAGCGGGACACATTGAGGCTCCATTCACAACGGCCCACTAGATTTTTGCCTAGACTGGTGACATCAAAAGGGTTGACTGCACATTCTTCGCATCCATCCTTTTCAGAGTCCGTGGTTTCCGAACTCACGGGGAGGGTGGCAGGTTTTGGCTGCACAAGATCCTCTACGAGCGACTGGAGGGCGCGGACCGCAGAATGTGCGCCCAGCACCTATATTTGGTAACCCATAGCATAGGTTTTACCTGGTTTCACAGAGGCCTACATAAATCTTTCTAGCCATGGAACCTGGTAGAACCAAACGGCTCCATGGCCCTTAGGCGCCCACTTTTGGCTGGTTCAGATCCAAGCCAAAACAAAAGCAGCAACAACGCTTGCAGACCCCCAGTTTGGAGACCGGACCAAACAACCACGTAGCAGGGAGCGCCCTCAAACTTGGTCGGAAGGAAACATGGGTCACGATGTAAATGCCCCCAAAGGGTGAGTCATACCCCAAAAGTTTGGCCCAGTGTTTGCTCAGGCTGGGGGGCAACATGGACACCGGTTGGGTCCCCGATTTTGAGTTTCCATGCCCGTCGCGACCGGGGTCTCAGGTTCCACGCACACCGTCACCAAGCTCTTGCAGCGGTTGTCGAGAGTCGGGGGCTGAAAGTTCGAAGTCAGGCAGCGGTCCTTGTATACATATTATCTTCCATTTGCTTAAGGTTATAATATATCTATGTATATATATATATATCCTGTTGGTGTTAAAGGGAATCTATCGCTACTGAAAGTATTTTTTTTCTAGGGACTTAAGCAGATGGAAGGTATTGGTAATATTTGTATATATATATATATTTCAGGGGAGTCCCGCAAAGATTTGGCTAGGGTGCTTCGGTTTCCCTGCAAAACCACCGAAAAAAGGGGTACCCACACAAAATCAAAAGCACCCATGTGGCAAAAGAGGGGGATGTGCTGTCTGAAAAACCAAACGGAACACCCGAAATCCATTTTTGGGATCCCATGGGTCCCCTATTGTGACACAGACCCATATGGGGGCTTGTCAAACAAGTGGCCCTGTTTTTTTAAGAACCCTTGTGCTTTTCGCCTTTTTGAAAGGGGAAAAAGGGCCCCTTTGAGCAACGCATCTCCTTTGGGGTCATGTTCAAAGTTCAAACACGTTCAACTGATTTTGACCCAGGGAAAAGGAGATTGGTCCCTGAACTGGCTCTCCAGAATGCACAGACAGTCTGAGAAACGGAGACAGAAGGAGACAAGAGGCTGAGAGGCATTCGCTTGTGCCCTTGTGCCACGTCTTCAGGTGGGTGCCTTGATTTTATTTGTTTTTGTTTTGGGACAGGAGACTTCTGACGTCTGATGGTTGCCTTAGCTGCACAGAAACGCAAAGAAGCCAGCCATGTAGCCATCGATTGTTGATTGTCTTTTTCGCGAAACCGCAAGGACGGCAACCAAATTCGGGGGGGTGCAGTTGGGTTTGGGCCACAGGTGGTTCAGTTCATCCGCGTCTCATCCAAGCTTGGAATCGACTCGGTGGAGCTGCTGGGGGCTTGGTCATGCATGGGGGGGCTGGCTTTTGAGTGCTGACCCCGGGGGTGTGGGGCTCCCTGATTTTAAGACAAGCCGGAAGGCTTGAAAAGGGAAATTGAGGGGTGGGAGGGGGTCCTGATTTTGAGAGGCCAAAGAGAGGTGTTTGGGGTTTCGATGTCAACTTTCTTCTGCCCACCTCTGACTGTGAGTTCTTGATCCAGTGAGCAGGAAAGCAGTCCCCAAAAAGAGCTTGGCTGCTGCAATCGGCTGCAATCACATCTGCTCGATCCAGCTTTGCTGTTTGCCACGCGATTCCAGGCTAGCCCACAGCCCAGGGGCTCCTCCATTTGTCTTGAACTGCTGAACACTTTGCAGCTTGTTATTTTCAGAAGTGACGTTTCGCTCTTTGCAGCGCTCTTGGGCCAGGGAGTGGCCCAAAAGCGAAGCCCTTTCGGATGCCCCGGTTCACGGCCAGCAGCTTGTGCTTGGGAATCCGCGTGCGTGGCACCTAAGGGCTCCGCCGACACATAGGCGCAAACGACCAGCCTCTGACATTGTCAGCTGCTTAGAGGGCAGACACAGGGGACCCTACTTGGGTGTTCGGCGAACTTAGCGAGTTGTTGGTATTCTGGGTCATAACCCACTTGAAGGAGAGTTAACCCTGTCATTAGTGGGGTATAAGCCAGGTGGCTGACCACTTACCAACTTGGCCGACCATCCAAGTACACGCACATTTTCCTTCGGGCAGTTTTAACCATCAGCTTTTTGGGACACAGGGGTTCTCCGGGTGGCGTTGTGAAGCCGGCGTCAACAGTCGTCAACTGTTGCCAACTTCAAGTATTGGCAGTCAGCTTTTGGCATCGTTTGATCCAAACTACCTGAGTAGATGAAGGTTAGAGAATTCCATCCAGCCGTAAATAGGTGTGGATTTGTGCCACAATGTTGAAGTTTTGGGTAGACCTTTGATTATGACTCCGGTTGGTTTTCCTTTGAAACCACGAAGAAGGGCTTCCCTCAAAGATGACACACCCATCTGAGTTTCATATGGTTTGTGCTAAGTTTTCGCGGAACCCTCTGTCGAGGCGGAGTACTTTGTCTACGCCTGGCGGAGACGCTTCCGCCTGCTCGACTACTACCGGCGCGCGATTGCAGAGCCGTGTTTTGTTTTTTGTGCGCAGCCACTGCGCCACGAATGGCTATGAATTCCATTGCTTGGAACTCCCTCCAAAATGGTTCAAATGATGCCCACCAAAGAGTGCCCAGAGTTCAAATTCAGACCAGCAACACAGGAGCCAGGGATTTCTAACACCCGATGGGAGCCTTCGGCTTGATTTGAGCCATGTGTTTTTTTTTGTAGGCAGTGAGGGGCGCGGGAAGCAGTTCCTGGCCGACTTTGCGTCAGGGCGCAGGCGCGGGCAGTGTGCAACCTCCTGCTGAAGGGCTCCCTGCTCGCTGGGCTCTTGGATTGGGCTGGAATTCCAGGGGTCCCAAAAGGCAAAGCCAAGTCTGGGGCTTCCCTCTACCTATATAGTTTGGCCCCCCCCCTATTTTAAAAAAAAAAACAAAAAAAAACACCCAACAACAACAAAAAAAGAGCCCTGTATCCTCCATATCTCAAAACTTCAGAGCATGGATTTTGACATGTACGTGGACTCTTTGGTGGACATCCGAAAATGTGGATCGACGTCAGACGCCAAGCCCATAGGCGACCGAGATTGCGAACCCCTTGGTTCGAAGGGAACCCAAACGCGACCAACCAGTTTCCCTGTTTTTGTTGGGGGCCACACTTAACGCACAAAAGGAACCACAACGACAACGGAGTTGGGCCCCATGCTTGTGTGCCTATTTTAAGGGGGAAAACATATAAGCTGCCAACGGACAACCAACCAATATATAATCAGCCAACAGATAACTGACAGATAGCACGACAACACCCTGCCAATGTTCACCTATCAGCTCCTCCCCCAACAAAAATAAGATTAGAGGACTCATTCCCAGCCCTTTTTGGATGTTTTGTAACAGGTGCGGCCATAGATCTGAGATTGAGGCGGCCACGGCCCTTCGGATCTTCTGCATCCTCTTCGGCCTGGGACCCGGCTCGCTCGTCTTTTTGAGGCTTGGGACCGGCTCGTCTTTGGGGGTTGGTTTAAAGGCCAAAAAATGGGCAGAGCTTTGGATTCAAAGAGGGAGCTGAGGCTATGAAGGACATGGCCAGTAGTGCCCTTTTACCCCTACTAAAATAGACTACAGAAGAAAAGTTGGTACCCTTATTCTAACCTCTGTACTGGAGGACCCAGTGGTAGTTTGACCGTTTCTGGGGGGTTGTGAAAGGGGAGGCTTTGATGATGGTAAGATGACGACAGTTGGTGGCCCGCTGTTTTCTCCATATGGGCATGACAAAGGAGACCCCCTAAACTGTTGGTCTTCCTTTTTGACCCGGATTGATACAGCCCCGGTTGATGTTGAGGGGAGGCGTTCCCATTTTCAGAAAAAAACAAAACACAAACACAACAACGAAGTGCTCAACTCTGCCTTCAACTGCGTACCCAGGACCGGCTAACATGTTGCTTTTGAAGCTCCAAATGGCCAACTCCTTACATTTCTTTTTTGGTTTCCATGTGGAACACGGGACACCGAGTCCCAAAAACGGCGGCAGCGCTCCGAGTCCAGGTGGCACCCCGCTGCTGTCCCTAGCCCACCTCCTGGGCTTCGGCGATCGGGCGGCCAGGGACTCAAGGAAGCGCCGGCGACCAGTCAGTCAGCCCAAGTGAGCCACATGGGAAAAGCTTGAGCCATGGTCAAAACGAAAACAATAGACGAAACATATGTCATATTTCCCACACGGGAAAAGTTACCCACGCAGATGGAATATTGCATCAACCCACATGAGCCACGTGCTCAAGACCGATTCGGGTAGATGAAGGTTGGTAAGGGGCAGTCCCACCCATTCAAATGGGGGCGGATGCCACTTTAATACCGGGTTTTGATTGTGACTCAAGTGAGCCACTTGCTCAACACCGATTCGGGTAGATGAAGGTTAGGGGATAGTCCCTGCCATTCAAATGGGTGCAGCTGCCTTCTGATGTTTTTTTTTGCCACGGTTCTGGGTAGACCATTTGAATGCCAGGTTTTTGTTGTGACTCAAGTGGCAGGCGACGACCATATAGGTGGGCTCAAGCAGCTCAAGCAAAAGGACACCCAACCAGCGGGGAACCCCTGAGAATTTGTCCAACTACATGTCGGCGATACGGTTGGTGGACTTTCGGCAAGTTCGGTCATGCCGGTGGCGGCTAGTGAGAGAATCGCTGGCGACCGTCAAGCTGACTTAGGCTCACGAAGCAAGTCAGCCTTTTGACCTTTCGATCTTTTGGTTCGATGGTCGGCCCGAAAGAGGCTTGAAATGCTGACTGAAGTCTGGCTGAATTGAGACTCGAGATAGAAGATGGGCCCAGCCCGGATTACTTCATTGGTAGCGGAGACGTCGGGCGCCCGTGTAAAGAGCAGGTTTCCCGGCCATGTGCTGAGCAAGGTGTGGAGAGGTTGCTTTGAGAGTCATGTCCTTGAACTTGAACGGCGAACTCCACGTCTTGATGCCTAAGGATAGGCATCGCGACTGGTTCACCGAGGTGACAGGCGCAGAGCTTGGAGCACCGGTTTCCATTTGCGAGTTGGTTTTCAGGTGTACCCTGTCGGCACAGATGCATGTGAGGTCTGTCAATTGGCGACCCAGTGTTGATCCGTCCATGAAATTGAGCCTCTTGAATTGGCTACAGTTTGAGGGACCCATTAAAATCGCAACTTGTTGGACGTTGGTGGTTTTCCAGGAAACACACAACAAAAATTAGAAGGGAAAACCCAACCACCAAACCTTGGCGGTTTTGATCTGTTTTGTTGGGTTGTTTAGCTTTTAGTTGGTTTAGTGAGGGTTTCCATTGATCCCACTAAAAGGTGAGAGACCCGTAATCGACCGCCAGTCAACACGCACCATCGAGACCTTTTTCTTTTGGGGGGTGGGGGGGTTGGGGCCAATTCCGTTCACGGACAACTGACAACCCTGACGCAGGCCTCTGCTGTTTACAAACGCAACTCATGCTTGGCCAAACACTTGATTGACACGCGCTTGTAAATTCGCCCAATCATCGTTCTTGACTTTGCGGAAAAAGACCCCTGGGGCATTTTGCTTTTTCTGACAGTATGTAAAACGCCTGCAGGACAACCGGGTTTGGCCTCTTGCGTGTCCACTCTTCACAAGCAATTTGGTTTTTGGTACATCTGCCAATTGCGGAACATAGCCGATTCCTCTTGCCTTTCCCTCGGCCAGGAGTTGGCATGTCACACGCATCTATGTGATGCCAAAAGAACCCTGCTGACATTCTACCACGGAAAAGCTGTCTGAAGTTGTCTCAAAGGTGATTTACTTTGTCGGTGTTCTTTTTGTCCTGAACAATGCCACTGAATCCTACAACATTTTGCATGCAATGTTGTCAACACCCAATTCACACTGGCACGGCCGCGCGGACACACATCATTCATTTTTTCGCAACACCTGTCAAGAACGCCGCGGTCAGTGAAAAAGGTCTAAGACCCACTAAAAGGCAAACTTTAGCAGGGCTCTGAGGACACCCCAGAAGCAAGAGGGTCATGTTGGATGTGGCTGTGTGTCAAAACCAATGGTACCATTTTGGGGTAGGCACCCTATTTTAGTGGTTGGATTGGGATGTTCACTGGGGGGTATCTGGGATTTTGGCCCATGGTCATGTCACTTCTGGTGAGGGCAGTTCCGTTCCAGGCACTCCCGTGAACCACGGCAAGGCTCGGGCCGGAGCTTGTGCAGCTGGTGATATGTTCACATGTGGGCGTGGGTCAAAATAGGGTAACCCCAAAATGGGTTACCCTGGTAAATTGAAACAAGGACGAAAATCTGCGGCCCGATTCCTGGTGGTTCAATTTTGACCCATACCCGAACTTCCCCTTGTGGGTTTCAGCATCACTATAACGACGCGAGCTTCCTGTTGGTGGCTGATTCGTTTCTTGTGGGAAAGCTAGGAAGCCTCTAGATAGATTCAGATGTTGCGCTTCTGAGCCCCTTGAATTCATAGTAGTGCGGGTGTGACCCTTACCTTTTCACAGGTAGCCTCAAAGACAGACACACCTTTGTACTCCCCTGAAACCATCTGAGTCTAGGGACAACCCTGTTGAATTGCCCGGTCCAGCGTGCAGGCCTACTATTGGACCGATCAGATCTTCTCTGTGATCGGCCACGAGGCGGTCCGGGTGTCCTGGGGTGCTTTCTGTTGGTTCAGCGCCACCTAGGTCCCCCAGTAGTGCCCTTTTACCCTTTTTTGGGGGAGGGTTCCCCCACTAAAATAGACTACAGAGAAAAGTTGGTACCCTGAGAACCTAGTTGGTGCTGCTGAATGAGGGCTTGTCCTTGGCTTATCCTAAGCTTATCCAGGCACAGCAGCCCCGCCCCGCCACATAGCCCTGCCTCGGGGTCAGGGAACCGAATTGGACGCGCTCAAAGAATGTTTCCTGTGAGTCCATCTCTGCTCAACAGCTCCCTTTTTGGTGCCCCAAAACACGGGATGAGCGTAGAACAAGAATACGCGATCAAAACAAATATAATCAGGGGATCAACAATTCAGGCCCCCGATTTTATGGCTTTCTTGGTCTCCTAGTCTCCTTATCCCCTGGTCTCCCGGTCTCCCACTCTCCTGGTTTCCTGGTCTCCCAGTCTCCTGGTCTTCCGATTCCTTCAACGTCTTCAGGTGTGGGAAGAGAACTGTTTTCTCCTCGAACAAAGGCTTTCTTAGCAATCCAAAACCAGTTTCCATAATTCCCCCTGTATATTGCTTGTAGTATTGTACCCTGGGTCCCTTAGGTCCTTTGGTTGTTGGGTCCCCTCGTCCCTTGGTCATGCATTCTGTGTGTCTCTGTGTGGTTCTGTGTGTGTCTGTGTTTCTCTTTGTGTCTCTTTGTGTCTCTGTGTGTCTCTGTGTGTCTCGTCTCTGTGTGTCTCTGTGTGTCTCTGTGTGTCTCTGTGTTTCTCTTTGTGTCTCTGTGTGTCTCTGTATTTCTCTGTGTGTCTCTGTGTGTGTCTGCGTGTTTGTCTGTGTGTTTCTGTGTGTGTGTGTGTGTCTGTTTGTGTCTGTGTATCTGTGCGTGTGTGTGTGTGTGTCTTGTATGTTTGTGTGTCTGTGTGCCCCTGTGTTTCTGTGTGTCAAAGCCACCATATGCCAACCCCAAACCAACCCCAAACAGCAACCCCCACCCTAAACAAACCTTGAAACCAACGCTCACAAACTGAAGTCAACCTAAGCCAACCCTAAACTGGCCCTAGACCAAGCCCAAACCCTGGAGGTGGTTCTACTACCTGGTTTCATTGGGACTGTAGCCAGGCCGCTTTTAAAACCTAACCATGCTAGTGGAGCGAATGGGTTTCGGGCGCTGCTCAATTGAATTTGAGCATGGACTTCAAACATTGGTGGGCCTTGGAAGAAAAAAACAGCTTCACTTTGCGGCCAGATTCCGTTCTGCCACCGCATTTTTAAAGGTGTGCTTCAAAGAAAAACCGAGCCACACCGATGTGCTGAACGGGCTGAATCCAGTTGAGAAGCTGGAAACTCATTTGCGGCGTTTTTGAGGCCTGTTCTCTTTAGACGTTGGGGCCAGGGTGACCATCCATGCATGAGGCATTACCTTGACCTTGGCTCGATGGACCTTGGCTCGCGGCACTCGATATTCATCGTGGTTCTGACATTCCCATCTACTGTCGAAGGGAGCACGCTGGGTCACATTCACCAAATGGCAATGGTTCAATGCCTATGGTACCATTTTTGGGCAACCCACCCATCCCAATAAAGTCTAGTCTGTTCATTTCGGGGATGTGTCGTGGGATAAGTGGGTTTTGAACCATAGCCCAATTACCTAATGCGCGACATGCGGGTTTTGCCTCCCATGTCCCCAATAGACACCTGAACATTCTCTCATATGGCTGTGGTTCTCAAAACCACTTTTACCATTTTGGGCTGGGTGCACCAGCCATTTTAGAACCTATTTTAGTGGTTGGATTGAATCGGATCTTCACTGGGGGCACGATGTGGCTTTTGGCTTTTGACCCATGGCCATATTTTTCACCTGCGGCGGTCAGGTGGTGCTGGCCAACATGGCCTTTCTGCAGGGCTACTTTTCCAAGGCGCTTGAATCCGCTTTGGTCGTAGAAGTCTTAGCCACCATCAAAACCTGGGTAGATGAAGGGTAGTAAGGGACAATCCCAACCATAAGTAGCTGCGGCCATGGTGCTGGGTCGACCATTTCAGCACTGGGTTTTGATTATGATTCATGTCTTGAGATATTGCAAGAACCAGCATGTTCAGGGGTCCATTGCCTATTTTGAGACACGCCCAAGTGCACAAGCTTGCGCACGATTTATGCGTCAGTCTTTCAGATCTCATGTTTGTCAACAGTGCTCGACCATGTGTTTGCATAGTTGAACGTTGAAGCAGAAGCATTTTTGTTCAGTATGAGTGACCGTTCACTCAATGATGAAACGACACGTAGTAGTACGTGTGCTGAACAGCCTGTATACCAGTGGCGTTTGATATGATGTTCTTTTTTTCGGCCACAGCGGCTTCATGCTGGAAGCTCATGTATATATATATATATATGCATACTAATATATATTATATGTATATATATATATATGTATGTATATTAGGAACATAGTTTCCAACAACAGCGCCCCCACTTATTTTTTCCAGGGTCCAACATTAGTCCGTGATTTCTGTGAGCCCCTTGGACGTGTCAAACTAAAGTTGTTTTATACCACGAAGTTACATTTGATTATGCTGGTAAGTAACACGCTCAATTTGATGCTTGGACAATGCGCTTGTTGTTTGCCTTTTCTGATTCTTCCAACCCATACCTGGGAACCTTGAGTATTGGGACAGTAGAGTATTTATTATTTTTATTTTCAGGATTCCATATTTTGATTCCCACATGTACTTTCTGAGATTCTTGAATCTTCCATCCCGAAATTAAACATATCCCATTCCATATTCAAGAGTCCCCAAAATCATTTTCCCAGATTCTTGAATCTGGAATCTTTTCTTTTTCGTTTCAAACCTTTTTAGTTTTAACATCTAGTGTGCCCCGATATTCCTGAGGTGCATGCAGACACCAGGCAGATGGCAAGTGGCATCATTGGTTACGAGTGCTTGAATATATGTATATACGGCACCCCCTAATTTCGGCAGAAAAGGCATAACAAACTGGAACAAGCACACAATTAAAATCCACAAACTTAGGTCCGTGCAGGTACAACGTATATGTATGTATATACATGTATATATATATATGTTATATTAATACATGTATTGTACACCTTGTGTAAGTACATGAGTACGTATGTACCTACATACACGCTCACACACACACAACCACACCCCACACCACACAACACACAATACATACACAACACAACACATATCGCACACACACACACACAAACACAACACGACACACACAACACGACACACGACACACAACACACAAACACATGACAGATCGCTTCCGGGCAACTCGTGAATCCGTCATATGTGCCTTGAGCAAGAGGTTCTGCGAGGTTGACACTTGCGGTGAAAAGGAGGTGACTTCTCCCAGGCGTTTTCCTCAACAAGAAAGTCTGAAAAGCATCGCCCTTCAGCGTTCCATATGTGTGTGTGTGTGTGTGTGTGTGTTTTTTTGGGGGGGGATCCCCTTTTGGTGGGTAGCTGAAGGGAAGCCAAGAGGAAGCCAGCCATGTTGAGGGCCGCACATTTCGGATATTACAGGCTTTAAGCTCCAAGCAAAGCAAGAGGCCAGATATCCTAGAGCTGCACCAAGAGGGTATGGGTCAAACAGAAACCACCAGGAATCGGACCGCAGGTTTTGGTCCATGTTTCTTACCAGGGTTCCATTTGGGGGTTGCCCGATTTTTGACCCCCAGCCAAAAGACGCCACGAAAAAGCGTTCGACGGCTGCAGACCGCCTGGGTTGCGCTGGAGAGCAGCATGAGCCTCTACCCCCTCTTGATGAGGCTGGGGCAAGCCTCCGAAAGGCCAACGGGTCGCGTTTGGGGCGCGTTTGTGCTTGGCGTTGCTGTGGCATGGGTTGCTTTGGATGTGTTTGGCTCGGCTTGGGGTTGGGAGAATCCAACTAGTGAATACGAGTGTATTGTCCAGCTTGCGCTGTGGCCATGAATTGTACGGAGGAAGCCCTCGGGAATGGTTGGTGGGCGTAAACCCCCAACCTAAATGATGTCCATCAGAGGGTGCCCACTTAAACTTTACACCCATGCTTTTGTTCGACAATTGCAATCTGCCAGCTGAGTCAGCTAGCTGGCAAGTGCACGGCACTTTAATGCCAGGCTTTGGCCCATCCTCACCATCTTCCTGGCCAGATGGATGTGCTGCTGCCATGGTTCGGGACAATGGTTCACGCGGCTTTCGGTGCAGGGGGCTTGTTTGAAATGCCCTAACGGACGCTATGGCGCGAGGCGTTGACGCGCCAGGTGGGGTCAATTCATCCAGAGGCAGAAGGACAATTTCAAGATCGAGTGGAAGAAGAAGTACAGCAAGGAGGGCTGCAACAATTGCGGTCTGCGCGACTAGAATCATAGAATTGAGGGGGAACCATGGCTGTCTTCGTAGCGCCGAAACTGGTTGCCCATGTTTGCGCTGTCTTGACTGAGCTTCCAGGATATCTGGGGCGATATGTCCCGGGAAAATCCATGCGGCGGCACGGCTTACAAGGAGGCCAGGAGGGCAGAGCGCGAAAGGTGCACTTGAAATGTCCATGGGGACCCTTCACAACTGTGAGTGTGGCACTCTTCCTTCTTTGCCTTGGTTTGGGTGGACCACTTTAGTATAGGTTGTGTTTCGACTCAAGTGGGTGTGGCTCAACGGTGCCCAAAATGGCACCTTGGTATATGGAACATAGACTAGCTTACTTGCGTAATCCTCGCTTTTAACATTTAAGCCACATTGGCCCTCAGGTTCAACCCCCAAGAAAAGAATGGTTGGCACAATTTGGATGCTGGCAATCCTCAGGTAAACAAGGGGGAAGCCACGGAGTTTTGTCCCATTCCAACCCTCTTTCTTGGGGCAGAAAGCGACGCAGCATAATGTCTGGCGCTTTGGCAAACAGTTTGCAATAGTGTGGGTCAAAGTTAAAGCGCCAGGAGCCCCAATTTTGGGTTCCATTTTGGGACCCATTTTTAACCCACAGCCATATTTCGAGGGGAGCCACGCTTTTTGGGGCAGCCCCGCCACTCCGAGTTGAGCTTCTCGGTGCAACCGCCCAAAGCTGCGCCGCTCGGCTTTCATTTTTACTCGGGCCGGGGGGGGGGGGCTCTTGGTTCCTTGTACTGTTGGCGCCGGATCTAAGTCCAGTCCGACCTATTCAGTGATTCATAGGGTGGGGACCCCTCCAAGAGTGGTTTGAACGCACCAACAGGAGACGCCCCCGGATCAACATGAACCCGGCAGAAAAGAGGCGAAATCAGAGGCTTCGGGCGATGTCGGATTCTCCCTTTCAGGTAGCAAAATCAGGTTGCTCGTTTTTTTTTGAGCCGCAGGTCTTGAAAGTGTCAAGTTCCTCGAGGTATGTGGGTATGTGACGGTATGTGTCAGGATAGGGGAGTTTTGGGCCCCCAGTTTTCTTTTGGCATACTTTCAAACCATCCCTCAAACGTGGTACCCTCCAAAAAGCACACCCATGTTGAACTTTTTTATTTATTTATCCCGAATGGCCAAAGTTCCGTCCTTGGCCGCAGCTCGCAGCCGGCGCCAGATGCTGGATGCCAGTCGGGTCCAGGGAAAGTTCTCGAGTGGAAAAGGCTAAAATAATTGCCAGTGTGTGGGTTTGTGAGGGTACTCTGACGTGGGCTGAAAGGGACACTGAACGGAAGGCCGAAAACGCCATGGTGTTGGACCGCCTTTGACACAAGCCGAGGAATGGAAGGACATTGAGCAGGTCCACCACGACCATGATCTGAGATCCATCCGCGTCCGGAGTTTTGAGAGCAAACGGTTCTTGCACGAGGCGCTCTCTGTGCGAAATTCGGAGTTCCCCGAGGAAAAAGTGAGCCGTGGGCATCCAGCGATTTATTTTTCTGGTTTAGAATGGGGAAACAGAGGGATCGACCTCAGATTGTGTGGGTTTGATACTTCTGGTTGCAGATCTGGGAAAAGAAAGGGGCCACCGCGAAAGTTCGCTTGACTCCCCACCGAATTTTGAGGGTCCGGGACCCATAAAATCTCCCGGGACTGGGCATTCCAGGTCCAAGCGACGTGTCGGATTGCGCGCGGCGTAGCGGCTGCCAAGCCCGCGAGTCATGAGTCGAGGTCGGGGCTCTTCGCTACGAAGAAAAGTCGGGGCTTCCCTTAGACGGCTATGAATTTAAGCAGGGGAACCGCCTCACAAGTGGGTGGACATGTTTCTCTCCATGACCAAGGCCCGCCTTTTGCCAAAGGTTATTGGAGCCGAATTCGAGCGAAGAACCTTGCAGTTTCATTTTCCACCGGCACAAGGCCGCTTTGCGGACAGGGGGTTGCATGGAATCTGCACTAGAAACGATGTGTTTGTGTCTCTGTGTCTCTCTCGCTCTCTCTGTCTCTCTCTCTCTCTCTCTCTCTCTCTCTCTGTGTTTTGAGTTCTTAAGGTTGTTTTCAAGAAAAAAGGGAGACCGAACACCATTTTTTTCGGGTCCCTATTTGGGCACGTGCCCAGTTGTGGCAAGCTCGAGGTAAAACGAGCTTACCAAGGAGCAGTTGTTGTTTGCTCAGGGGATAGTGCAGATGGAATCCATTGCGCCAGCGGCTCAGCTGGCGTGGGGATGTGGCGGAATGCTAAAGAGCGCCGTGCACGGGCGCTGCAAAGCCGCTCCGAGTGGAGTCTTTGCAGGAAGAACACTAGCATATAGTGGAAACACAGAGGGAGCCCCCCACCTTCCAGGAACGGTTCTTGGAACCTGCTTGGAGTCGAAGATGTTCTGCTTGAAGTGTTCTATGCATCATTTTGGTGGGAAAAGGGGCACCAAGGATAAGCTCTACCAGACCCAAATCTTCAGCTTCCAATTTGAGATTCCTAGCCACTCCAGACGTCATCTCTTGAGCAATTGAGACGGTTCTCTTGGGGCGAATCGTACCGGCGTTGTACAAAGTGGACATCATCTCTACTGAATGCTGAGCCCAAAGAGGCGTTTTGAGGCTTGTTATTAAGGCTCTGGTAGAGCAAGTGCAAGGTCGTTGCACCAAATCAGCATTCAGGCAGAGGCTTGTGAGTCGAAGAACACTTAGCCGCAGGTGAAAAACACAAACAAAAAACGTCGCAGTGATGCGCTACACGCACGAGATTCAAGAGGGGTGTCTCTTTCGGATCTGAAGCTGGGCAGAAAGGAACACATGCCAGCATGACGATTCGCCGAGTTTTTCCCGGAGATGCAAATTTGAGGGTCTCTTTCTTTGAAAACGCCATATACGCGTGTTTGGGCTTGTTTCAAATGGGAGACCGACTGGAAAGTCCCCACTGTGGGGGGTTCCCCAATTGGATTGAGACCCGTTCTTTTCAGATGCGTTCCGCTCTGAGCTTCTGGCAATAATTATCAAAATACTCCGAGCAACCAGCCACACTGCGACCGTATCGCTCTTCACGTGGATGCCAAGAAACTAGTTTCCCAGAACGCACATCAGCAGACGCGCACATTGGGGGCTTGCTAACGACCGCATTCTTCGTGCGGAACGAGCCCAACCCAAGTTGCCTTCAGACGGTGTCAGAGTCACAGCACCATCAAGCAGCAAGCAGCTCTCATTCCCGGCGGGCCATGGCCATGGCGAGCGCCGGGCTGAGAGATAGGCAGGTCATGTCTCGTGTTTTCTCGAAATGGCCATGGGTCAAAAGCCCGGTTACCCCCCAGTGAACATCTCAATCCAACCACTAAATTAAACTAGAATGGGTGGTGCACCACTCCCCCAAAATGGGATCGGTACCAAAACGGTTTTGACCAGCCAATGGGAACCCAAGGTCCAAGCCGAGCCTTTGGTTTCTCGCTGCTCTCTCTTGGCCCCTAGAACAGTTTTTTGTTGTTTCCTTTCATGGACACAGTTGGAGATGTTCCGAAAGGAAAGTCGTCTTCCCGCATCTTGTCAGCTTCCATGAGTCAGCTTCATGATCTAGGTCCCCCAGTAGTGCCCTTTTACCAACTTTTGGGGGGAGGGTTCCCCTACTAAAATAGACAAAAATAAAAGAAAGTTGGTACCAACATATTCTAACCTCTCTACTGGAGGACCTAGTGATTCTTTGGAACCGCTGCCAGTGGTTGAATGGCCCACGTGGAACCTGACGAGAAGTTGAATTGGAACCATCCGAGGAACTGCCCGGAGCCGGAAGGCCTCGCTGGGAGTGTGCCGTGGCCACGGGCAGTTTGGTAGGTACCCTGCCCAGAGATAGCGCCTGTTCCGGGTCCTGAAGCTGGCGGATTGAAATAAGGCATGTGTTTTGCTTTCGGTGTAGACTAGATGTGAAACAGAGTCTAAAGGTATGATTTTCTGTGCACCCCTGTGGGCCATGTGGGAGGGTACACTCTTCCTCCTGGCAAGGGTTGACTACTTTGCTTCTTGAAGGGGCCGTTTGGGGGGGGTGGGGGGCTTGCTACCTGCCTTTGTACGGATTTTAAATGAGTGCGTGAGCCTTGACCCCCTTTGATCCTTTGCCTCACCATGTACTTGATCCGCCTGCGTACCACGCATATGGAACAGGAAGGGCATCAACTCAGTCAACTCATGCCGCTGCACGCAGAAGCTTCAGCCTGAGGTTGTCGCAGGCTTAGGGGGTTGGGACAAGTTTGCTTTTTTTTCAGGGGAACCACAGCCTGCATGCACGTAGCCCTGCGTCTCAACGCCAGGCGCTTCTTCCGGCCCTCGCCCTCGGGGTGCGCCAGTGGTTTTTTTCTCCTTTCTGGGGGCGTACCTGGGCCCCAAGCCTTTTTTTTTCTTGTTTTTTTCTTGCGGCGTTGCCCTATTCACACTTCGAACGTGTGTTTCCTTGCTCGGATTCTTTGTAGGACGTGTGCTGAAGTTCTGGTTTCAGATGCCCTCTTGGTGCAAATCACGGGTATTTTGCTCATGCTATTTGGTCCGATGTTCTTTTCGCACTTCACTTAAAGGAAGTAACTCACCTGAACAAATACTTCCATTTGCTTAAGAAGATTTGTAATTTTCGCCAGCGGGTTTCAAAGGGAATTTCACAGACTCTTTTTCAGTGGACTTCTCAACAAATGGAAGAATATGGCTGTGGGTCAAACATGGGTAGCCAAAATGGAACCCTGGTAAATGGAACCAACGACTAAAACCTGCGGTCCCCTGCTGGTTTAACTTTGACCCATACCCATATACTACCCCGATGACGGAGGCTTTCACGATTCCGCGGTCCGGCAGTGAGTTTTAAAATTTATCGTCGCCAGGTGCTTGGCTGCGCCTTTGTCGCGCCAGTTGAGAGGCGGCGAGAGAGTGTCAAAAACCAAAGGTGCACGAAGCACAAGACGAAGCACAAGACAAGCGTTTGGCATGTTTGTTTTAAACAAACACACGCACTTATTTTTTTTTAAGGGGGGGGTGGAAGATGGGGGGTCGGGGGTGGGGGGTGGGGGTTGGGAGGTGGGGGGTGGGGGTTGGGAGGTGGGGGTTGGGAGGTGGGGGGTGGAGAAAACGAGAGAGAAAGACAAGGCGGCCATTTTTAGCAGGCTGTTCTTTGATGATTGTTCGATGATGTTGTAGAATGACGGGAGAAGGCGAGGTATCTCAATTCTAAACTCTAAAGGGGTCAGCAAACAATCTTCAGCAGATGCCTCGAGGTGGTTGGGGGAGCATTGTAAGGCCAAACATCAATGAGTTTTGCGCGCGCACTTGTTCCGCTGGAAGAGGGGACATTTTGTATTTCGAATGGCTCTGCATGAAGCTCGGTGGCATCAGTTGGCCGTACCTCTTCGCTGCTTTCGAAACACGAGCAAGTGCTGTGGAACCTATGAATCAGACGCAGGGCTATGGCCGCTTCCTGAGCTGGAGATGTCTGGCAGGTCGGCAGTGCGCCGGCTTCTTCTTGCGGGTCACCTGGGCATGCCTCAGCCCGAGCGCACCCATTTCGGCAGGGCCAAAGAAGTCCTGGTTTTTGATGCCCGCTAAAGGGGCTTCCAAATATTTTGAAGGTTATTCACAGGTTGCCACCTTGGACCGGACTCAGGTTTGCCACAGGGTTCTGACAGGGTTCCCACAGGGTTCCCACAGGTTCCCACTTAGACCTTTTCTCGGCAGCTCGGTTTTTTTTAAATAGCGTCCCCTCCCCGCATGCGACCGAGGCTCCCGTCCGCAGCAAATGCCCAGGAGAAAGGCGAGGCTACAGATGTCCTAAATGGCGTGTTGCAATGGGGACCTCAAAAATGGCAGAGTTTCACTCTTTGGTTTTGCTTTGAAACCAGCCCAACAAAGGATACACTCAACAACAGCACACCCGAATAAGTGAACCATGCGAAACCACGTCAAGCCGTGACTTGCAGCAAATTGCGGGGGTTACTTTGTTCCTCTCTTGTGCCGTTTAGGGCATCCACGGCGTGCGATTCGACGCACATTCAACTGGAGCGCACTCATCATGAGGTTGGTCGAAAGTACTGATCTATGGTTGGTTTGGGAGGGCCGTAGGCCAACGGGGACACAAAGTTGCGCCAAAAAACAACAGGGAGTCAAAATCAAGTTTTCCGAAAGAAGGGTGCCCTTGTCTCCATGATCACTGGGGGTTTGGCTGCAGTTTGCCGATTCCAGTGAGCTTTGTCAGGGTACCAAGAGGCTTCGATTCGAATTGGCTCGAGCTTCCAGGCTGGGGCATGTTTCCTTGGCAGAAGCGTCACTGGCGTTGTTTTGCATGGCGTGATTGGCACGTCTGGAAAAAGGCGAACCGTAGCTTTGGTGCATTTTGCTTGGATGTTAGGACTTTGACTTTTTGCCAACTAATGGGTTTTTCATTAAACCACTAAAAGTTAAACTTTTAGCAGGGGAGCAGAAAGCAACCGAGGTAGGCTTGTTCTTCATTCAAAACAGTTGTTGTCACCTGGGCAACACCAGAGTCTCTGTTCAGGTCTTGTACGATGGGGCCATACCCAGCAAGCTCCTCAGTTCGCGTTTCTCTGAGGTCGCACGGAAAACGGAGTGTGTACATTTTTGAGCACCCTCTCTGAGGTTGAAGGGACAGGAGCCATCTGGGATCCAAAAGCAGGTTTTAGTCATTGTTTCCATTTACCAGGGTGCCATTTTGGGTACCTATTTTTGACCCACAGCCATTTTTCTCCCGAGATGACGACTTTTTCGTGAGCCCTGGGTTGGCCGACTTCGGGACAGACCCTTTGCCTGACGCCCAGGTTCTGGGTTGCATCTGGCACTCGGTTGCCTAGGCTTCAGGGCGCATTTGTTCGGCTACAAATGAAGAAACAAAGGATGTGGTTGAGGAATGAAGCCCATGGTTGGGCCCTGGATCACGGCAGCTTCGAGATTTTGGAGCATTGGCACGTGCTCGCGCAAGTCTCAGGTCGAGTCCAAAGGTTTTGTTTGTGAAGCCCACCAGCAAGGCCTATGTACGGCACTCAGCTGGATTGATGCTCCTCTCGGACCAAGTCATTGAAGGGAATTGGCAAGTCCACGTGTTGATGTGGGGAGCCCGCTTGATTTGCCCTCCCCCCGGCACACAGACACACAGACAGACGAGAAAGAGAGGAAACAATTCGGGGATGGTCGGGGATGGTCTCTTTTTTTTCAGATGGCGAGGTAACCACGCCAAATATGGGGTCGCAATGCTGAAAAAAAAGGGTAACAACGCCAAGAAGGTAACAACGCCAAACAAGACGACAAGATCAGGTCACCACGTAATATTTGTTCTCTTCTTCTTTTTTTCTTGGGGTCGTTCCGTCCAACTCCTTCCCTGAGCCAAACATCAGCTCCAAGGCTCAGGGCCTCCGAGTTGGCGATGAGCTGGCGGGCTGAAGAGTTTCGGATGGGTTCTTGGGGTGTTTTGAGGGGAGATGTAAGAGGAAAGGCCCCTTTAAAGGGGTTTGCCCCCCTTGGAACCCCCCCTTTGTTTGGTTTAAGACCAACCCATGTCTCTTTTTCGATCCCTCCGAAGTCCATGCGGGGTGAGTCTGTTTTTTGAGGGCACCGGATGTGTTTTTTGTTTGGTTTGCAGGAAGCAAATGAAGACGGTTGGGCTCTGCAACGTCCACCTCGTGACCCCCCAAGTCACTCATGCCTGGTTTGCTTCGCTCAGAAATATATGTCGAAGATCGGCATCCCCGGCATGTACTCGGCCGCTCGGCCGCAAGAGTCGCAGAAATTTGCGGGGGATCCTTGCTACAGGGTCTGGGGATCAATACCAGCCTGTGTCCTTGGATTCAACGAAAATTAATAGTGTCGAAGTGTGAAGGTTGAATGGGACACCCCCATCCATCAACAGAGGTGTTGTCATCTTTTTGGGTTCCCACTACTCATTTGGAGCTGTGCCTTCAGGAGGGTCAGATCCGCAAGATGCGGGATGTGGACAAGGAGATCAAGCGAGCCTCCAACGCGTGCCGGGCTCGGTACGCTTCGTGGAGAGGTTGAAGGATTGAATTGCCCCTTTTGGATACTTGAGCAGCTGGGCGACCGTGGGATGTAGAGTGTTCGCGGGGAAATGGTGCAAACAACTGTATTTCGATTTATGGGGGCTTAGCAAAAGCCTGGGCTCGTATTGATCATCATATTAGACCTTAAAACAGCATCTCAGCTCAAACCTAGGCCAGAACTCCCTTGTAAACATGAGTCTTCCACTGGGAGCGGTGCCGGATTCAATCACTACACAGGATGAGTATGACACCAGCCTTGGCAAGTTGACTTTCGTGGACGGCCTCCCAGATGAAGCAACAGTCCAGAAGGTCTATGACAATCTCGATCGGTCACGAGGTGTCCAAGCTTTCTTGAACATGGTGCCCATGGCTTCCCTTGAAGCTCTCCGCCGCAACATGCTTGAAGGTGGTGTGGACGCATGCCACAAGTTCATTCTTTTTGAAGGCCTGATGGATTGCCGGTCCATCTTCCTTACGCCGAACACGGACACCGTGTACGCCATGCTTCTCCTCGATCTCAAAAGAGATGGGCCGACGGTTATGGAGATACCGCCTGGTGCTGGGCCGGGATTTGTGAACGATGCCTTCTTCCGCTATGTGGGGGACATGGGTGGTCCAGGGCCTGATCGTGGCGCCGGTGGGAAGTACCTCTACCTCCCCCCGGACTATGAGGGCAGCGTTCCCGAGGGCTACTACGTGGCCAAGTCTACAAGTTACACCAACTGGGCGGCACTGCGGGGCTTCCTGAAGGACGGCAAGCCGGATCATGCTGCGCAGATGTGGCGCGAGGGGCTGAAAGTCTATCCCTTGTCTCGCGCAAGCAACCCCCCGAAGATGGAGGTGATCGCGTGTTCCGGGAAGATCATGAACACGATCCACTCCAACAACTACGAGTTCTTCGAGGAGCTGAACACCGCCATCCAGTATGAGCCGGTGAGCCTCTTAGATCCTGAGCTGCGGGGGAACTTGACCGCCATTGGCATCATGAAAGGCCGACCTTTTCAGCCGGACACGAGGATGAAGGCCCTGCTCACAGAGGCCGCCGCGATTGGAAATGCCACGTCCCGGGCGTTTTGCTTTGCGACACGATCCAAGACCGCCCGCATCTACGATGAGAACAGTGAGTGGGTCACAGCGTTTGACGGGGGCGACTATCGCTGGTTGGTGGAGGATGGAACTGGCGGCCGCAACGCTGACGCGAGGACGAGGTTTTTCTATTTCGCCACGGGCAACACTCCAGCCATGGTCATGAAGATGGTTGACCGTGGTTCGCAGTACGCGGTGATTTGCAGGGATGCCAAGAAGAGGTACCTAGATGGATCGAAGTGTTATAGCCTCAGGATCCCAGCAAATGTTCCGGCCAAGGACTTTTGGTCCGTGGTCGTCTATGACACGCAGACACGGTCGATGCTAAAGACCGACCAGCTCTTCCCCTGCCGCAACTCGGTGTCCCACGCCGACATGAAGCAGAACCCCGATGGCTCGACCACCATTTGGTTTGCGCCTTCCGCGCCCAAGGGGAGGGAGGGAAATTGGATCCAAACAGTTGCTGGGAAGATGTGGTGGGGCTGTTTGCGGCTCTATGGGCCCGGGCAAAGTTGGTTTGACCAGACCTGGCGCCCTGAAGAGATTCAGGAGGTGGAGCCTGAGGCCGGGTACCCGTGAGCTGAGCGATTTTGTCGGTTAATTTCTACTAGATATGACTTTTGTCCCAGGCAGCGTGCTGTGAACAAAGTTCCAGGTAGCTTCCCTGTAAACAGATGCACAGGCTCGAGCAGAAGGCTTGATGCAGCGTTTGCATCTTATCTAGCAGGAACAAAACATATACAAATATATATTTCAAAGTCAACGGGTTTTGGACGCCATGGTGCCAGGATTGAACGCCCTTGAAGTGTAGTGAGAACCCAACAAACCATCTAGCCCAGTTTTGATTTACCAAGAAAGGAAGCCAACATGGGCTGGTATGTTTTTCCAGACCCGCTATTTAGTGCCCATGGGTATGTAGCTGTGGGTCAAAACCAATCGTACCATTTTGCACCACCCATTTTAGTCTATAGTGGGGATTGGGTCCCGTTCACTGCGGCTACGATTTGGATTTTGACCCATGGGTCTTTGAGCTGAGCACCCGAGGGTTGATCCATCTCAGGAGCTCGCTCTTTGGCTATGAGAAGCTTGGGATGGAGGCGGGCCAGGAAACCGAACGCCTGTTTGAGGGGGACCCTGTGTGGAAGTGGTTTTGCAGATGGGTCCCTGTGAACCTCCCGCTAAAGGGGAGAAAAACAAAGAGAAAGCAAACAAACAAGCAAGCAAGCAAGCATGCAAGCAAGCAAGCAAAAGCAAAAGCAAAAACAGAAGCAACGAAACAAAGAAACAAAGAAACGAAGGAAGGAAGGAAGGAAGGAAGGAAGGAAGGAAGGAAGGAAGGAAGGAAGGAAGGAAGGACGGAAGAAAGAAAGAAAGAAAGAAATAACTAAAGAACGAAATAAACAAACAACCAACCAACCAACCAACCAACCAAGCAAACAACCAAGCAACCAACCAAGCAACCAAGCAACCAAGCAAGCAACCAAGCAAGCAAGCAAGCAAGGATCCAAACAAACGAACGAACGAACGAACGAACGAACGAAAGAAAGAAAGAAAGAAAGAAAGAAAAAAGAAAGAAAGAAAGAAAGAAAGAAAGAAAGAAAGAAAGAAAGAAAGAAAGAAAGAAAGAAAGAACCAACCAAGCACAAAAAACAAACACACAAACAAGCAACCAAACAAAAACAACTACACAAACACACAAAGAAGCAGCCAAGCAAAAACAAATACAGAAACACACGACCACACAAACACACAACCACACAAACACACAAACCATCAACCAAATAAAAACAAATACACAAGCACACAGGCACAAGCAAACAAACAAACAAACAAACAAACACAGAATCAAAGAAGCAAACCAGCAAACAAACAGGTCATCGCGCCATGAGGCGCCTGGTGATTTTCAAGGTTCACCCTTCTTGATTTCAATGCGCCTGCCAATGATTTCAGCTTTTCTCAATGAACAACTGTGGTTTTAGAATTCCCCCAAACTAAAGTGTTTTCAGAGAAAACACCCTTCATTTGACATCATCTCCATTTGGGCTCCATTTGGGTTGCGCACTGCAAACATTGAGTAAATCAGATTGCACCACGTAGACATAAGATACTCACGAAGACCACAGAACGCCAAGCAATTACAAGCAAATACAAACAAACACAAACAAAAGCAAAGAAACGAGCCCACAAACAGACAGCCGCGCAAACACGCACACACGCAGACACGCAAGCACTCAATCACTCAAGCGCGCAAGAACGCAAGCACGCACACACACACACACACGAGCAAACAAACACACACAAGCAAACAAACACACACACACACAAACGCACAAGCAAACAAACAAACAAACAAGCAAACAAGCAAGCAATCAAGCAAGCAAAACAAACACAAAAGCACAAAAGCAAACAAAGACAGAACTCAAGCACGCAAAAACAACACAAACAAACACGCAAGCGCACAAGCATAAGCGCAAGAGCAATTACAAGCACAAGCACAAACACGCCCGCCCGCATGCCCGCACACCCACACGCCCGTGCATGCACGCGCACCAAGACACTCCAAACACACACACAAACAGAAACAATCGCACACGCACACACGCACACGCACACACAAGCGCAACAAAAGCACAGAAACATGCAAACACACACACACACCCACCCACCCACCCACCCACCCACCCACCCACCCACCCACGCGCACGCGCACGCGCACGCGCACGCGCACGCGCCACGCGCAAGCGCACGCGCACGCGCACGCGCAGCGCAGCGCGTTGAGCGCACGCGGGTTTGCGCGACTCGATCTGGGGGCCTTTTTCGGCCATCGCGCACCGCGCTACGCCCGCGCTGCCCGCTGCGACCGCACGCCCACACGCCCACACGCCCACACGCCCGCACGCCCGCACGCCCGCACGCCCGCACGCCCGCACGCCCGCACGCCCGCACGCCCACACGCCCACACGCCCACACGCCCACACGCCCACACGCCCACACGCCCACACGCCCACACGCCCACACGCCCACACGCCCACACGCCCACACGCCCACACGCCCACACGCCCACACGCCCACACACACACACACACACACACACACACACACACACACACACACACACACACACACACACACACACACACACACACACACACACACACACACACACACACACTTGAACTCCGACACACACACACACAGAGACACACACACACACTTATCTCGAGAGGCTGCTCTTGCAGACACGCGATTGTACTGAAAGGGCATGAAAAAATCAATCTGCAGTGCAAATGTCACATCATCGAAACCGAACATGAAGCAAACAGTGGTAAACCGAGGAAACACATTAGGTCACGAAAGGATGGCAGGTACGCCGGAATGGCCAATTCCGGTATCCCGTCTTGCTGCCTAGCTTTGTTAGACCAGGTCAGCAGCAAGACGCCTGGTCCCCCTGCAATGTGGAATTTCCGTCCGTGCTCCAGGACGCTTCACACACACGGAGCCCCAACTGGGGCGACATCACTTGTGCAAGGCCCATTGAGTCTTGCAAGCATCAATTGTGCGAGAAAGTCTTGTGGCGATGACTGACCACGCATACTTGGCTTTGGAATTGGTCTTAAGGGAACGGAGGAGTTCAATCTCTCCCTCAGTCCAAGGCTGCGAGGCTTCAGGTTCGGCCTCAGTAGAGGTATCAGTCCTGGTCGATGTGGTAGCTTCGCTTGGTCCACGAGCAGGTTTTGGATGCCGTAGATCGTGAGGAGGCCAAATCACGTGTGCGGCGAGCTCGTTTTTTGTCGGGAGAAGACGGAGGAGGAGTGGGCGGAGCCCAATGATCAGGGAATTGTTCGTCATGATCAGTGGGAAGGTGTTCATCTGGAGCATCAGGAGGTGGCTCAAAGAGGTCCTCGAGGGGGGCCAGGAGGGGTGTTGGTGGTGAGTTGGTCAGGTCCTCAATGGCGGGGTTGAGCGTGGCCTCCGGTGCCAAATCAGGTTCGGCAGTCGGACTCTCAGTGAACTCGCGGATGGTGGCGATGCCTTGTTGGGCAATGCCAAGGATGAGTTCGAAGTCTTGGAGCAGCTGGCGTGCTGTGTTGGTATCCATGCTCGCAACGGATTTTAGTCAAACAGTCAAACGGCTGCGGCACGAAAATCAGGTCAAATCTGTCAGGATGCAAAGGCAGAGAAGAAAACCAGTGTGGTTTCGCAAAGGACGGTTTTTCTTCTCTTTGTAAGGTGAAACCGTGTTGGAGGTACAACCTCTTCAACATTGCAAGATCCTGATCTCGCTGAAATTCAGGAAAGGAAACTCGGCTGATCAGCGTGCGTCTGGAATAATATCCAGATTCCTTATGTATCATTGGTGCGGCTGACTTGACGGAGAGCATGTTGTGCTTCTCATGCGAGGGACTGAAGGAGATGGTGCTGCTTGTGAGGTTCAGTCGGAACCCCAAGAAGTCCAGGGCGGCTTCTGTTTCCAGGAAGATGTCTCCTCCATAGAAGTGTTCGTCGCACAGTATGTTGGCTGCCGGAGTCGAGAGCCACCTGGGGGTTGCGATCACGAGTCTGTTGTCCACGTAGCGGAGCAGGAGAGTATCTTCAACGGAGCGAAGTCCCGATGTGATGTGAGTGTTGGTCCAACATTGTTCGGCGACCGCGATCACCATCAAACAGAGAGCTGGGGACGCGGGGGATCCCATCGGTGCCCCACGTGTTTGCCTGAATGAACGAAGGCCGACAGAGAAGATCTGCATGTCAAGGGTGGCCTGAATAATCTCGGGGATGTCGTCGAGCCACAGGGTGCGTTGTGTGGGTTTGTGTCGGCGACGGCGTCCGTTGTAGACGCGGGTGATGGCAGAGGGGTCAAGTGTGTCCACTGTGAGGTGTGTGGTAGAGGAGTGTGGTTGTCGTTGTCGGTACCAGGTTAGCAGTAGTCGCCAGGCGAGGAAGGGTGCAAGCATCGGTCTGGAGGGGCCAGGTGGAATGAGGCCCCGGAATCGTAAACTGGATCGAATGGCGGAAAGGCATGCCTGGTGGTGTGGTTCAGGCAGGTGTGTGGCTATGCGAGGAAGGACATAGAGAGCGGCGGGTGGGAAGTCTCTGCTCCGTATGTAACGGATGGCATCAAATCGTCGTAGAGTGTTGCTGCCAAGATCGCCCAAAAATCGCCACAAATCCAGGCGGTTGTCCACGCGTTTGGCCAGGAAGGCCTGTTGTAGGGCGATGGGTAGTCGTAGTCGGCGGTGTTTTCGCCAGATGGTGGCGAAGCCCATGTGCCGGGATTGGGAGAAGTCCAATTGGCGTATGAAGCCCGTGCGTGGCCGGAAATGTTTCTCGATGAAGCCAAAATTGAGAGACGGTTGCAGTTCCTGGATGTAGAACTGTTCAGTGGCAAATAGGTCCGTTGCCGGAACGACAGTGTGAATGGGCACCGTGGTGTAGTGGTGGAAAAAGTCGAAATGTGCCCACCACCGGACTGCCAGTTCGGCATTGACCAGATGATGTCGCTGAACTTGGAGTAGTTTGCGATGTTGGCTGCGGCCCCGTGCCATGAGGGAGGCGCGAGTGGCTCCGAGGTAGAAAAAGGCCTGCCACTTTGGATGGCTGGTGAATCTCAGATAAACCGCTGAAGGGACAAGCTGAGAAGAGAAATCGGAAGCAGGGTTGTCCAGGCCAAGTCGAGTAAGCAGGGCTTTCAGTCTGCCGGAACCACAGGAGAGATGGCAGACGTCAAGTAGCTGAAGCTGTGCGAGTAGTCAGGAGCAAGAATGACGTGCGGTGACGTCATCGGTTGGGAAGAACCGAAGAGTGAAACGGAGGACAGTAAGAAGTTGGCAGCAGTGGTGTTGCCAAAGTTTGTGCTGCCTGGCTGTGCGTCGTTGTTGGTGTGCTGTTGAGAGTCACTGGTAGAAGTGACTCGCAGCGGCCAGGATGCGGCCCAAGGCCGATGACCCCAGTTTTGATAGGGTTCGCACCGGGATGCCCCATAGCACAGCGGCTCGTTCGAGTTGGGCTCTGGTGTCGGGGTCCAGTGTGGTTGCCCATTTTGCGCAGTCGTTGGACCAGCTTTTTAGGACTTGTTTGCTCTCTTTGCTGGTTTTCT